GTGGTTAAGTTGAGGACAATATCGATGTTGTTAGTGGTGGGCCAAGGATCCATCGCTCTGAAATCTTATCACAATCATATGAACAGAAATTATACAATTCTCAAAGTGGGGATGGACATGTGTTTCTTTAATATTTAGTGTGAGTTTATATGATCCATATTGAGAATATTATATTGCATGATTTGAGCAACTAATGGATGTAGAATTTATGATTAAAAATTCATAACTTAATTCTCTGTTTTCCTGAAGAATTGAAGATTCCATTTTAAACTCTAAATAAGAGCTTCTGCAAATCTTGTAGCAGTAAAAGGTGACCGGAATAATACAAATGATCATACTGACATCCACCAATTTGAAGTCCAAGAGAAAAGCAACATCTAGAACAGTTAGCTTCAAGAAAACTGATTTGAGCAAAGCCAACAAGTCTCATGGGCTGGAAAAAGTGATTTCTCAAGAACCTATAAGCAGCAAGAAAAGGAAAACAGGAGAGCTAAATTTGAGGACAGGTGATTCATTGAAGACTACACAGGAAAAACCTGATAGTTTCATTGAGAAGTTCAATCCAACAAGTTCTTTAACCAAGCCAGAAGATTGGTTTTCTCCCCTGTCCCCAAGGGAGCTTGATGCAGCTGCAATCAAGCTGCAGAAAGTTTACAAGAGTTACCGAACTAGACGAAACACTGCAGATTGCTCTGTGGTTGCTGAGGAGCTATGGTTTGTTCTGTTTTCATTTCCTATTCTGCTGTGCATATAGTCGTAATTCGCATAGTACATTCGTGCTTATTCTCTTCTTTTAATTGTTGCAGGTGGCAGGCATTAGACTTTGCTGCTCTTAGGCGAAGCTCTGTGTCCTTCTTTGGTTCTGGCAAATCAGAAACTGCAGTTTCAAGATGGGCAAGGGCTAGAACAAGGGCTGCCAAGGTGATCTCTTCCTGTACATTTCACGTGCATTCAAAGTTACTTAGCTTTTTTACAAGATTTTGAACATTAGCAAATTCTTCAACATTATTCTATTTAATATTTGGACCCCATCAGTCTTCTTAAAGACAGAAAAATCTATCCATGTGTTTCTTTGTTTTGAACTTTGACAAAGACCAAAATGGATACCTAATTTATTTGAAGATCTTGACTTGTAAGACGTTATGATATTGTTCACATTAAAGTGTTGATAGAGAAGCATTTGGTTGATTAATGTAGGTTGGGAAGGGTTTGTCCACGGATGAGAAGGCTCCGAAATTAGTTCTAAGACATTGGCTTGAGGCTGTAAGCTCACATTAAGAATATTCACATACTCTGTATTAAGCCTATTTTTTCCATTCAACATGGTAAAATAAAGTGTCAAATGAATTTTGTGTAGGAAGACAACATTGAGAATCCATAGACAATTAGTTCTTTTCCTTACATTTCACATGTATGCTTAGTTAGGTACACAATAGCATGGAATAGGACCAAACTAAAAATAAAAATAAAGGCATGAATGGACTAATTTCTTTACATCGCAATGAGTGGGGAACTATTATGTTCAGAGCAAGCATGCTTACCTTCTGCTTGTTCGGTACAGATTGATCCGCACCATCGTTATGGACAAAATCTGCACTTGTATTATGATGTTTGGTTTACTAGTGAGAGCCTTCAACCTTTCTTCTACTGGTAGAATCCCAACAGAAACCAATTTTTCTGTTTTGGACATGTTGAGGCTTATTTTGTAACCTTGTGATGCTCTATCCAAAAATGAAGGTTGGATGTTGGAGATGGCAAAGAAGTAAATCTTGACAAGTGCCCAAGAACTGATCTGCAGGGTCAGTGCATCAAGTACCTTGGACCAGTAAGTATCAAAAAATTTAATTACTTTCCCATATATATATATAAGTTTCTATTTTAATTCTAAGTTTTGCTTTGTTAATGATGTGTTATCTATATTGTTCGCACAGAAAGAGAGGGAAGCTTATGAAGTGATTATGGAAAGTGGGAAGCTTGTGTACAGACAAAGTAGGAAACTTGTGAATACTGCTGAGGGTTGTAAATGGATCTTTGTCCTCAGCACATCAAGGAAAATGTATGTTGGGGAGAAGAAGAAGGGCCTTTTCCAGCACTCTACTTTTCTAGCTGGAGGTGCCACACTTGCAGCAGGGAGAATTGTTGCCTTTAATGGGGTTCTTGAGGTTTGCTGCTTAATTGCTAGTTAATCGCTTAAACACACACAAAATACAACATTACTTTAAAATTTTCTTCCCATCATTCATGAACCTTTTATCTCCATACCGTTCAGGCTGTATGGTCCTACAGCGGTCACTACCGCCCGACGGAAGAGAATTTTATGGAGTTCATTAGCTTCTTAGAGGAGCATCAGGTGGACTTAACAGATGTTAAAGTAATTCTCCCTAAGCCTTCATATTGATGACTTGCACAAATTGCCTAAACATGGTGCTTAAGCTGCTAAACAATGGAGCCTTTTCATATGATTCTCATTAAGCCTAATTACATTTTCCCAATTAATTGTTCTCTGCAGAAATATCCTATAGATGATGATGTTCCACCTTCTTATGCTCCCAAGAAAGAGATGAAGTCAGATATCACATCTGCTAATGTTGATGTTGTTTGTGTATATTCACATGTTTTACACATGTAATTAACCTAGACATATGTATATATTTCACACATGTATATCCAAATTCTTATATCTTTTACATGTATATATTTCACATGTTTCAATTTCATTTATATGTATATAAATTCCTCTCTTTCTCTAATTTTTATTCTCATATTGAACCACATCTATATAACCATTGTTGATTAGTGATTGATCTATGCTTGAACGCTTTGTCTAAACCTTGACTAACAGTTTCGATAATTAGACTAAATATCAATCTGAACCGAGCGAAATTCAGTTATGAGATTTGAATGCACGACTTTCTCTAACAAAGTGAAAATTGAATTTCACTAAACTTTTTCTAGTAGTTGTTGGAAATTTGAATTTTATTAAACTTTATTCGATGGCGATGGGTTAGCCAGGAAGATGGCAAGGGAGTCAGAGGTTGCTCATGTTAATGACCCCTTCCTTGAGTTTCTATGCCAAAACTCTGTATATACGCTTGTAGCTGTAAGCCCATCTCTTTTGAATCTTAGATCGACATTGTCTTGCATGGCTCTAGCTTCAATCAAAGCTTTAAACATGCTTTTCTTATTCTTTTTAAACTAAGGCAAACTCACATGTTAACAAATTGTTAGAAATAGATCAATAATGTATATCAAACTTCGGCAAAACAATTAATTTTGGCATTGGTTTTTAGAGAAAGGCGACGATACTACAATAACCACAAGAGATTAATTCAAACACAGAAAAGTCCACAACACTGATATTTCTTAACATAAAATATTTGGCGATTAAAATAGGAATATTTAACCCATTAAAGTTGCATTTCTTGTCATTTGATTAAAGAAAGACCCAGTTGAGTCAATAGAGGTTGTGGAATATTTAACCCAAAATAAATAAATAAATAAGAAAAGAACAAGAACTTTTTGGGCAATAAGAATTTGTCTTTGACCCAGTTGAATTGTACGGAACAACATCCGAGTGAAGGCAGTGACATGAAGCTTCGGTCGCAAGTCAAATAATTCCCAGTTTTCTTGTTCTTTACCCCATTGCCTCGTGGAGTCTTTTCACAACATTTGAACAAGGATGGAGTCAGGATGAGCCTTTGCACAACATTTGATCAGGGATGGATTTAGGATTTCAAATTGGGGTGGGTTTAAAAATTCGACACTACGAGTGAATTTAATTGATTAAAAAAAAACACATAATCCGGATGACTTAATGAATTTTACCCCTCAAAACACATCTAGTACACATCTTTTTTCTGTTTTCTTCAGGTGTGAAAAGTGAAAGGGGGTTGTTTTCTAAGAAAAAAAAAGAGAGAGTTGTTTTTGCCTTTGGCCCCTTTCCATTTTGTACCCCAAAAAAAGAAAAAAGGAAAACAGGGTGAAGGGGGGATTATGAGAATGCAGTGCATGGTTGTCCATTGGGTGGGTTGGGTATGTTAGTTCAGGCTTGAAAAGATAAAATCACCTGGGCTGTAGCCCAGGTTAGTCGAAGGCAGGTCCGTCCCTGCATTTGACGATTTCTCTTAATTTCTGGTTTTCACAATCTCTACTCTATACTTGCTTGACAAGTACGTTACAAAATGTCATGTTTGACCAAACTCTCTCTCTCTCTCTCTCTCTCTCACTCTCTGTAATGATCATGGCTCACATTAAATTTAACGTAACATTTTGTTCCAAATAAAGTAAGCATACACAAATATATTGGGAACTTTGAACACTTCCAAGTTCAAGAATCAAACCCCTCGTGCGGTTGTCAAAATCATGCCAAGTTTTCTTTCTCCTTTTGTTTTTTCATTCAAAACACCCCGTTTGATGGGACCAAATTTCAAACACTTCTATTTTCTGCAGTTTTTGTCTAATACGTGTTGGAAGTTGCTTTGCCAACTACAGACATTCAACCAACTTCTTTTCATTGAGTAGTATATAAAGGAGGCAGGTGGTCTAATTTAGAAATGCACCAAACCAAGTTACTGCTTGAGTTGAGATAGGGGGAGAGAGAGTTGCAATTTTATTCAGGTGAGAAAAACATGCATATTTCAAGTTGTTTGAGCTAGCTCTTGTGGTTGTTCTGCTGTCCTAATTTGATTAGTTCCTGACATGTTTTTTTTTTCTTTCAAAGTTTTTGACATGTTTCGCTTGGTTGATTATGGTCAAAGTGAAAATGTGGCTTAGTTGAATCAAAAGGAGATCTTTAAGAATGATGGGTTAATCTACTTTAGATTCAGAGCTCATCATATGAAAAACATGCGTATTTCAACTGAAGCTATTGCTTTGCATGATTTGAGAACAACTGAAAGTAGAATCATCTTCATTAAAAACTTACCTGCATTTGCTTAAGAATCAATTAGATATCTGTTTTCTGAGGCACATGCTTTTTGTTTTGGCAGAAATTTATAGAAATGGTTACAATGACATCCGTCAGTGTGTCCAAGAAACAGAAGGCGACGACTGGAACAGTTAGCGTCGAACAAACTGATTTGAGCAGCACCATTGAATCTGATGAGCCAGATAAAATGATTATTGAAGAATCCATGAGCTGCAAGAAGAGGAAAGCAGGCCAGCTAAAGCTAGGGACAAATGCTTCTTTCAAGAAAATAGAGGGAAGAATTGATAGTTCCATTGAGAAGTTCAATCCAATAATTTCTTTACCGGAGCCAGAAGATTTGTTTTCTCCAGGATATCCAAGTGAGCTTGATGCAGCTGCAATCAAGCTGCAGAAATTTTACAAGAGTTACCGGACCAGGCGAAGCCTTGCAGATTGTGCTGTTGTAGTTGAGGAGCTATGGTTTGTTCTATTACCATCTCCTATTTCGCAGAACATAGTTGTTAAACACATGCATATATGCTTATTCTCTTCATGTAATTGTTGCAGGTGGAAGGCATTGGACTCTGCTGCTCTGAAACGGAGCTCTGTGTCATTCTTTGAATCTGATAAATCAGAAACTGCCGTGTCAAGATGGGCGCGGGCTAGGACGAGAGCTGCCAAGGTGATCTTTTGGTACATTGCAGTTAAAGTTACTTAGATTTTACAAGACGTTGAGGATTATCAAATTCTTTGATACCATTAATTTCCAACATGTGGACCTAATTGGCTAATTCAGTCTTTTTAAAGCCAGAAAATCCATTTGCTTATTTGTTTTGTATTTTGACCATGACCAAAATGCTTGACTAATTCAAAGTTCAGAAATTCTTGTAAGAACCAAGAACTATTGCAGACAATGAGTGTTGATTTAAGTATCATATTGTTGATTGTAGGTTGGGAAAGGTTTGTCAAAGGATGAGAAGGCTCAGAAATTAGCTCTAAGACATTGGCTTGAGGCTGTAAGCTTACATAAACAATACTCTCACTTTGTATTTAACCAATGATTTTCATGGTTGCATCATAAGCATGCTTACCTTCTGCTTATGATGTACAGATTGATCCACGCCATCGATATGGACACAATCTACACATGTATTATGATATCTGGTTTAACAGTGGGAGCTCTCAACCTTTTTTCTACTGGTATAATTCTGCAGAAACCAAAAATTTCTGTTTTAAAAATGTTATGGCTTTTTTTTTCTTCTTCTTCTAATATTTTCTGCATATGAAATTAATGAAGGTTGGACGTTGGAGATGGCAAAGAAGAAAATGTTGAGAAGTGTCCGAGAACTGATCTGCAGCGTCAGTGCATCCAATACCTTGGACCGGTAAGCATATTATAGGTTAGCTGACGCACTTCATCTATGTTGGTTTATTTATTTATATTACATTTTTAAATAGGAATATTAAGGGGTTTGATGTGTGGTAACTGATGTCTTCTTATATGTATATTGCTCTCACAGAAAGAGAGAGAAGCTTATGAAGTGATTGTGGAGAGTGGGAAGCTTGTGTACAGGCAAAGTGGGAACCTTGTGAGTACTGCTGAGGGTTCTAAGTGGATTTTTGTCCTCAGCGCATCGAGGAATTTGTACGTTGGGGAGAAGAAGAAAGGCCTTTTCCAGCACTCCTCTTTTGTATCTGGAGGTGCCACTATTGCATCCGGAAGATTAGTTGCTTGCAATGGGGTTCTTGAGGTGTGCCTCTTATTTGAGACATGGAGATTACATTTCCTGAGATGCATTTTTATCCCCCTATCTATTGAACCTTTGATTTTCATGGTGTTCAGGCTGTATGGTGCTACAGCGGCCATTATCGCCCGACACAAGAGAGTCTTTTGGAGTTCATTAGCTTCTTAGAGGAGCATCAGATGGACATGACAGATGTCAAGGTACTTGTTCTTAAGCCTTCATATTGGCTTTTGCATAATTGGCCTAAAACTTGGTTCATATGTATGATATGCTAAGTAATGTAAAATTCTGTTTCTCATTAAGCCAATCTAAAATTCCATTAATTTTTTTTTTCTGCAGACATGTCCTACAGATGATGATGTTCCACCTTCATATGCCACCAAGAAAGAGATGAACTCAGAGTCTATAACAAGCACCCTTGAGGAGACTAAAGAAAATGAGGCTGCTAGAGACACTGATGCAGCAAATGATCACCATGAACACAATGTGGAGCCCCCAGAATTTGTGCTGGGCAGGCCTTTGTCATGCAAATGGAGTACTGGGGCCGGCCCTCGAATCGGGTGTGTAAGAGATTACCCAGCACAGCTGCAATCTCAGGCACTTGAGCAGGTCAATCTGTCACCTAGAGTCACACCAGAAATCTCTGTTAGCAATGCTCCAATCCCTTCACCAAGACCAAGTCCAAAGATCCACCTCTCACCTAGGCTTGCATTTATGGGACTTCCTAGCCCCAAGGTTACATAATTTGACCTCTAAACCATCACTAGATTAATCTAAAAGATTAAGCATTTTGTGACATTTTTTTTGGGGTACGGGGGGGTTTGAATGGACTAACCTGGTTAGAATGTCTTCCATTCGGATTTCTTCACCATTTTTGGGGACCTTTCAGGGGTTTGGCTACTTTTTCCTTGTAAGAGGTTTTCATTGTATTCTATTCATCATTTAATAATCATTGCAGAAATTATTTTGAAAGTCCTTCCATACGTTGTTCAATCTCTCTCTCTCTCTCTCTCTCTCTCTCTCTCTCTCTAGTTTGACCATGCTTCAAGACCAAAGGTGGATCAATATTCCACACTTATGCAATTTTTTGGACATATTTTCCTAACCGTTGACCAGAAATACCAAATTTGACAACTGTTCTGATGGAAAATGCTAAAATCCTTAGCTGTTATTAGTTTTTATTTATTTATTTGTAAATAAGCGATATTGCCCCACCTCTAGTCCTTAACAAAGATACATATACTTAATGTTTAATCTACGAAAGGAATAAAAAAAAGAACAAAAGATGAACTAGGAGGGCTCAGAAGTGAGGCCCAACCAAGGGCCTGGGCTGGATTCAGTGCAAGTAGACGGACTTAAACTGGCCGCCATATTTCAGCGAAACGTCGTCCTTCCTAACGAAGGACAGCACCGTTAAACATACTACACCGTCGCTGTGCAGTCTATATCCGTTGCTGTCAAATTGACTCCCCTCCCTCCCCCACCCAAAAATAAAATACAAATTTATAAATAAAACCCAGGCAACACTCTCTGCAGCTCTCAGCTTTTATTTCTGTTTCCCAAAAACACTTTCCACAAAGAAAAACACACAGGGAAACTCAAGGTTAATTCAGCTAGGAGCTTATTTCTCAAATGGCATTTAGTCAAATTCGAATAAAAACCCAAAAAAAGAAAAAATGCATTTAGTCAAATACAATATTTGATGCCATGAGAGGCCATAAAGCACTATCCATAGAGGGAAAATGTACTGAATTTGGTCACATGGGCTGAACACACTCATTCAAGCAAAAACAACAATCTCCTATATATTCACCCGCGAAGGACCCTCTCCGATCATTTATTGGCATGCCGGCCAGTAACTCAGCCTTGTCTAAAGCGTTGCAAAACTGCAATAAATATCACGATGATTTCATAAATATATAACATAACTAACAGATTGGAATGAGTAGTGACTAGAGTGTATCTGTCAATGCCCTGCCCTCTGAAACTTTGCACAACTGCAAAATACAAATACAGAAAATATCAAATTGTCATAAATACACAACATAAACAGGCGAATTTCGGGCATTGTCAGAATGAGTGTACCATACCTTTCCCGTTTGGTGGCTGGGGCTTAGTCGAGTCCCACCCTTGAAGTTGGAGAGGGGAATTGTTGTCTCGAACATGTTGGACAGTGCTCCAGTTTAGTCGTCCAAGTAATAATAGGACCCAGAAGCCTTTTGCTCCCTATCCTTGGTTGAGTTTAATTTGTTGATTCTTGGGCGAATGTTTGTAGGGTCACGTCTAAATGTGATATCCAGTTGCTGCAATGCCACATTGAAAAAACAAAGAGAATCAGATCCTAGAACGACAAAAATTACATTACATTCAATTGGAGGTAAATTAAACAAGCTGCAAGACTTACAGATAAGAAGAGATTCATCCCAGTCAACAAAGACCGGAGAATTTGCAATACAATCAACTGATGACTTTCCTTCATAGACAATAACTTTGTCTGCCAAGTAGCTAGCAATAATGAAATCATGCTCAACCACGAATGCAGTTTTCTTAGCGTGGAGGACGAACCTCTTTATGACTTTTGCTGCAACAATACGCTGCTCAGAATCAAGATATGCACTTGGTTCATCCATCAGATTGATGTCTGCAGGCTGCAATATCAAGCAAAATTTAGGGGCATACATTATGAGGCTGCATAAGTTCAAAGCAAAGCAGATGCATCATCACACACTTCATTTGTTATTGCTATAAACATAAACTAAAATCTGTTACCTTTCCAAGGCATACACATAGAGCAACCTTTTGCAGCTCTCCACCAGAGAGTTTGGTAATTTCTTGATCCATTAATTGCTCAATCTGAAGGGGCTTCATCACGTCTGTCACAAACTGGGGAAGTGTACAGGAATCACGAATTTTTTCATGAAGCAGGTCTTTGACTTTTGTTGCACGCTTTGGATTAATTTTCTGGTTTTTGTAAGAAACATGAAGCTCAGGTATCTCCACACCAGAATCAGGTTTCGACAAACCAACCTACAAATTGAACAAATGTATGCAATGACTCCACGTATCAAGATGCAATTTAACATATGATTGAATAAAAAGAGTGAAAATGATAAAGACTAGTACCAGCATTCTCATAAATGTGGTCTTCCCTGATCCACTCTCACCCAACATCACAATAATTTGAGAATTGGTAAATTCACCCTCTATAACTTGAAGCTTGAACTCTCTCAACATTTTAGTCATCGATGGGTATCTATACCGTGCATATGTCTCAATTTCCTCACCGCTTTCTTGTGGAGTCTCAACCTAAACAAGACAACAACATAATATTTTATATATAAAAAAAAGATTGATTAAGTCACTAAAATCCAGCATTTTCATTGACAAAATATATTGTCTTACCTTAAAAGTTAAAGATTCATCTCGGAACCTTGGGTTTTCTGTAGGAATGAATCCTGACAAGAAGATGTTGATTCCTTCTCTAACTGAGAAGGGTAGGGTTACAGCTCCAAATGCACCCGGCTTCCCATATAACAAACTACCCAACCAAATCACAACTATGCTTTGCTAGCCTATACAAACATATTTGAGTCTTCTTATTTGCTCTTTCTCTTCTACACCAAGATTACAGTGACCACAAACACAAAAACAGTTGCAGCTATGCATAACTGAGATAATGTAACTAAGAATTCAAGGACACTCAGCCAGATTATATAACCCTGCTTATAATTATCAAAGGCATCACCACCAATAACACAACACAAGGGACAGAAACAAAACTGACAATAACAATGCCACATAAATAACTTTAAATCAACATCATAGAGAAGGACAACAAAGGGCAAAGAAGATTTAATACAGACAAACTAGGCAGCTAAATGCTACAGAGTTCTTAATTAACAATTACTAAAACTTTTAAACATTGTCTTGTTAGACATCAACACAGTGCCTTGTTATAAGGTTCTAATGCTCAGATGACTTTAACGCCTCCAGAATCACCTTGGCCTGATCTCTCATCAACTCACTCTTTTTAACAAAAAGCTCCAATTCAGCAACATGCAGCTTCTTCCACTTCTCCTTCAACTCAGCTCGCTTGGCTCCTCCAATCAACTCCAAGCCCTGCTTCACGACACCCTCCGGCAAACCCAGCTCTCTGAAACCCTTATCAAACCCAATCACCTCACTCAAACTTTCAGAACCAGACGGCTTCAGACCAAATTCCACCTTCTCACACTCCTTTGGGCGCTCCGGTGAACTCAAAAGCTCAGCTTTAAGTGAAGCCAAAGTCTTGTTACCCTTCTGGTTTGTCCTAGCCTTCCCATTAGACTTGGACTGTTCAGACAACCCACTGAGCCCAATTGACCCTTCGCCGCTGCCCCATACCTTCTTCGACAAGTCGAACAACTTTTGCTCATGAGGCTTAACAGGATTATACTTCTTCCCTTTGGCCACATTAGTCTCATACTTCTTCTTGATCCTACGAATCTTATCTTGCAATTGGGTCTTGTTCACATCGGCCTTCAGCGATTTCTTGATAAAATCATGAAACGCCCCCATATCAGAATATGGATCCGCCCCTTTCTTGGTAGAGTAATCAATCATGCCTTTCAAGATTGTTATCTCATCGTCATCGCTCCAAATCCTCTGGAACAGCTTCTTCGAGTCGTCTCCACCCGCCTTCTTTTCCTCTCCGGCATGTTCTCGCTCCTGATCCGGGTCTGTGACCTTCTTCTTGGGCCTCTTGGAATCCTTGAGGTCGCTCTCGCTCGGCCGCTTCAGCCCGGCTCTTGCCGCCGGCGTAGTAAGAGCCGAGGCCTTCGATCTGGGTTTCTTGGTCTTGGGCGTCTCTTCCATTGGCTTCGAAACTATCGGCTTTACCACCCTATCCTTATCCAATTCCGAATCGGATTCGGACTCGGACTCTGAGCCAGAGGATGAAGACTGCGGCTTTGAATTGACAGTAGCCGAGTCCGGTTTCTTCGCAGCAACGGGAGTGGGTGCTGCCTTTGGAGGCTCGGGTTCCTCGGACTCTGATTCGGACCCGGATCCGGATTCTTCCTCTTCTTCTCCGTCTACTTCTTCTTCAGACGAAGCTACCTCTTCGTCGGAAGAAGAAGCAGCCGGAGGCTCATCCAGAGGAGATGGGCGCTTGGGTGCCATTGGAGAGACGGTACAGTGAGGGTTTTGCGAAATTTAGGGTTTCTAGATGGGAATTGGGTTTGTGTGTGCGTAGGAAGGAGTAAAAAGGGTCCTACTTGGAAAGTTTTTTATTTTTGTATTTGGGTTGGAATCTTGGATGCAGTCAGAGGTTTTTTTGTTTTTTTTTGGTCAACATGCAGCAGAGGTTAAGGACTTTCGAAAGTAGCAAAAAAGCCGTGAAGATATCAGGACCGTTGGATTTTATTTTATTTTATTTTTTGTTGGAGGATTTTAAATTTGTTGTCTCCTTTTCTTACACAAACAAATGGAAATATAACCATACGCACAACCGATATACAAAGGTACAAATTTGGACTGAAATAACACGCAAAGGTGCATCATTTCACTCGCTTCCCTTCGCCTCCATTTATACCCATCAAATTCATTAAAAGAAGACAATTTAACAACAAAAGGAAGTGGAATTTCTAAATCCTATGTTTTTTTTTATTCAAACACGGGAATTAGATCATGTCAATTTAGAAATTCTGATTTTTGTCAAAATTTCAAGTTTATTTTCCTTATTTAAACGCACCATAAAAGCAGAAAATTTAACAATAAAAGAAAATTAAGTGATGAAGAAAACAACAGTTTAGATACGTCAAGCATTCTATTAATCTGATCGACATAAGTACAACCTCAGTCTATTTAATCAATTGATAACAAACTTAGAACAATTGTGATAATTTATTAAATAGGTATAAGATAATTAAGCCAAAACACCCAAGCTTTAATAGAATCAAATCAATGGGTGTTAATTTTGTTACTACAAATTTGGAAAATGGTAGGTGATAGTGTAGACAAATGGAAATTTTTTAGTGAAGACAATGACAATTATTACATAATTAAGGCGAATCTGGTGGAACTTTGCAAATTGTTGATGAAACCTTGCATTTGTAGCAAATGTCAGATGGCTCTGTTTTTTGCAATCCTAGGTTGTCTATAAATGTTATGGTATCACCTTATTATTGTATCCATCTTTTTATTTTCTACTTTTAATTTCATAACTGTGTTTTGCAATCCAACACTTTATTGCAGATATTTGCGATCTAAACTCAAGAACACCGTTTGTGATTGCCTATGCATTAAAAGGGCCTATACTTTATGAATTGTTCCTCTTGCCATGTCGCTTGTGGGTGGCAGAGGGGAAAATAAATTGGTACTTACTCCTGAATTTCCAAGACCTTGTTTAAATTTGACTAAACTTATGATTGGTCTTGCGCAAAAGTCTGCAAAACAAGAAATCTAGCTGATTCAGTTCGGCCAAGAACTGAACCCCCATGTTTGAAGATACTCCCTTAGCCAACTGATCCCAAGCTACCTTTCATTTAGTTATTTATTGTTATTTCACTTCCTTGCCTTCACTGGAAAATGCGACAAATTTTATTACAATTTGACTTACTTTACCTCACTTTTAATTGCTTCAGACAACTCAAATCTCTTTACTACATCACACGCCATCTCCTTTCACTTCTCTTAACAAGCGTGCCACCACACGAGAAGGTTCAAAGTTGGTGACTGGGTCCTCATGAGAATAATGAAAAACACTAAAGATCTAAATGCGAGCAAGTTTAGTCACTCATGAGAAGAACCGTTCGAGGTCATAGAGGCATACGGAAAGGGAGCCTACAAGCTGAAACGGGTTGAGATTGGTTAGTATATGCCATGTCCTTGGAATGCAATTCATCTGATGAAATATTATGTTTAAATTAATCTACTTATCCATCATTCCACCTATATTATTTAAATAAAATATGCACTTCCCATTTAAATGTCAATTCGAGCACTTGGCTTAAATTTGTTGTAAACCTAATTGTGTTTGAACTTATCAATGGGATTCATATCAATCCCTACATCACCTCGGATGTTACCAATCTCTTAAGGGCAATCAATTAGATTCATATCAATCCCAATATCACCCCGGGGTTATCAATCATCTGAGGTGATCAATTGGGTCCATGCTAATTTCCTACATCACTCTGGGGGTTACCAATCCCCTGGGGGTAATCAATTGCATCCATATCGATTCCAACATCAGCCCGAGGTTATCAATCATTCTCTAACTAAGAAAGGTTACAATTCCAAATGCACCCGGCTTCCCATATAAACAAGAAACGTGATTTGATAAGTAATCTAGTACACTCAAATCATGCTCCACAATGATTACATAGCTAAAAATGTAAAGCAAAGCAAAACATCCATTACTTAAACATGCCCAGTGTAAGCAAGAAAAGACCCCACAAATATAAGCAATGAAAAAAAAGAATTGAGGCAAGAAGAGAAGAGAGCTATGCAAACAAAACCCATCAGGCCTGATCAAAGATCGGATGACTTTGGTTGCTCTAAGCCTTTGTTTCACATCAAGATAACTTGAAGGTTCATCAAACATGTATATATCTGCCTTTTGCATGGCAACAAAAGCAATGGCGAATCTCTGAAGCTCCCCACCTGATAACTTGACTACGTTACGATCTAGAACCTGGTTTAGCTGAAGATCAACAATGAGTTCTTCGATCACACCCCTCTCATCTTTCTGTCTGAGCAAGTTCCCTGCATTGCCTTCAACTACTTTTGGAATATGGTCAACATATTGGGGTTTTATAAGAGCCTGTTTAAAGGAAAAGAAAACATGATATATAAAACAGAACGAAACATTGTTACACACAGCATAACAACCCAAAACCTCTATAACAAAAGATGAACTCGGAGGGCTCAAAAGTGAGGCCCAACCAAAGGCCCGGATCCGATGCTGTGTGCGAGTGACTCTTTAACGGACTTGCTTCTGGGCCCCTACCTTGTCACTAACAGGGCTCGGATGATGTTTCGCCTGAACGTCGTCGTTTGCAATTTAATATCCGTTACATGCTTTCAATTGACTTTTTTTCGAATTCGAAATTCAAATTGCTAATAAAACCTTTCCTTAATTAATATTTAAAAAAAAAAAAAAAAAAAAAAAAACCTTCTTCTTCAAGGCTCCTCGATCAATAGTTTAATACACTGACAGATCTGTTGTCAAATTCTAAAACCCAATCCCCAAAAAGAAACCCAGACAGCACTCTCTGCAGCTCTCAGCTTCTATTTCTGTTTCCAAAAAGCACTTTCAGAAGAAAACACTTCCCACAAACAAAAACACAGAGAGAAATTCAAGGTTAATTCAGATTTATAGCTTGTTTTTCTCAGATGGGCACTACTGGGAAATGGTTAAAGTCACTTATCAATCTCAAAAAGCCCCCCACAAGTGACCAGGTAAACCCAACATTCCTCACCCTCTGTTTTTATTTTTCTTATTTTCCTCTGTTTCCTCTGTTTCTATTGTTTTCTTCTGTTTTTGGTACTTGGGTTGTTTTAGGAGAAGGTGGGGGACAAGAGCAAGAAGAAGTGGAAGCTTTGGAGGAGTTCATCAGAAGGGTTTGGATCGTCATCGAAAGGTGGGATGAAGAGGAGCCAAGTGGCAGCTGCAGAGCCATTGAATTCGCTCGACGATGCATTAGCTGCTGCCATGGCTACTCTGGTCAGAACTCAACCTAAAGACTTCATTGTCATCAAGAAAGAGTGGGCTGCTATTCGGATCCAAGCCGTGTTTCGAGGATTCTTGGTAAGTGGTTCTCTCTCCTTCTGCTATTTCCATTAACATGTAGCATATATTTAAGTACACTGAAATTAGTTATACGTTCTATGTAGTTAAACATGAGTTATTGTTTAGGTAGCTAGCTGAATTCAGTTCAATTACTGTCACAAAACTTTATAATCTTTACACTAACTTTGTGTCCTGTGTTGAATATTATAAAGAGTTTGATCCTGAGTGTCAAGGCATTTCTTTGATGGTTTCACAAAAAAAAAAAAAATTCTTTCAAACGGGTAATGCAAACTTCTTGGGTGGCTATGGAATCTAGTTTAGGTTCTGCACTATCAGTAACAAAGTTTTTGGACACTGCAACTTTGATATGTAACTTCCTCTTTATTTCATCTCGACACAGTTTACATATAGATATAAAATTTAAGTCTTTCTTTGCTCTTACAATTTGCTGGTCAGTTTTAGTACTAGTTTTAGGTTCTTTGTATGTTTGATCTAATCTGGTTCAGAGTAAAAATGAAAATGATAAAGAAATCCGAAGAAAGTTAAGTAAGTTGGAGAGATTGTTGGGAAGTGGATTGAAAAATGAAAGCCAAATTGTATCAGCTTATGTTGTTTTAGATGAGCTGCTTGAATGGAGAGTATTCAAAGATAGAATTAATTGGAGGTCATTGGGCTTGTGATGTTGAAAAGCAAAGAAAAGAGTTAGGATCAGTAAACTGGGCTGTAGATTACAATATGAACTTTGTTGCATATAAGCGAATGCTTAATGTTGTGTCATTATGTTCATTTGATAATGGTTAATGGGGTAACTGATAAACCGCAGGCAAGGCAGGCTTTGAGGGCCTTGAGAGCAGTGGTAAGGCTTCAAGCTATATTTCGTGGTCGACAGGTTAGGAAGCAAGCCGCTGTTACATTGAGGTGCATGCAGGCACTTGCTCGAGTTCAGGCTCGAGCTCGAGCACAAAGGACCTCTCTAGAAGGGCAAGAATCTGTGCAAAACTCATTAGATGAACATTGCTACCAAGCTGATCCCATTAAGCAGGCTGAGGTACTTATCAAAATTTTCTTGCTTTCAAAATTGTGATGAAGTGATGCATGTTATCCTGACAATATTGTTCTATTAACTTTTGATGAAGATATTAACCCTGTTTACCCTATGATCAATATTGTGTTTTCAACAATTTTCAGCAAGGATGGTGTGATAGTCCAGGAACAGTGAGTGAAGTTAGAGCAAAGCTGGAAATGAGGCAAAGAGCAAACATCAAGAGGGAGAGAGCAATTGCATACTCCTTCTCTCAACAGGTAATAATGGATTTTTTATATTTCTTTTTGGTAAAAGAGTTAACAGGATAAAAACATGGCTTAGTTGAATGAATATGAATGGTGTTTGAGTATGCGCATGATTATGTTGTTTTTTTTTCCAGAGATCAAGATCAAATGCCAGTCCATATTGTAGGACAAGCAAGACAGCAAAGGCTGCTAGGCATCAGAAGGTGGACGATAACAATTCGGGATGGAGCTGGTTAGAAAAATGGATGGCAGCCAAGCCATGGGAAAATAGGCTGATGGAAGAGATTCAAAGTGTGCCTTCAGCAGTCACTCCTTGTTCCAGGAAAAGTGGAGATGGCATTGTTGGCTTTTATCCATATTCTTCAGAACAGAACTCAGTGAAAGTGAGAAGGAACAATGTCTCAACCAGGGTTTCTGCTAGACCTCCTACAGCAAGTCCAATAACTCGCTCGTCTTCTGCTCCAAGTTCTGATTTTCTGCAGGATGAGAGCTCGGCATCAACTTCGTGTACTACTGCATCTCCAAATCTGGTGTTTAGTAACAATCTAAAGGTGGAAAATGGAGACGAAACTAATGTATGCAAACCCAGTTACATGAGTCTCACAAAATCAACTAAGGCCAAGCAGAGAACTTCCAATTGTTTTGATATGCAGAGGTTTTCCATGGAGGAGTATCATTACCATAACAAGTCAATGGGGCTTTCTAATGGGGATACAAGGAGCAACTGCGGTTCTGATCTATATCCTCCAATATCTGTGGGCAGAGTTCAACGAGGAAGATATCAATGACAGTAAGGGATACTAATTAAGGATTGCCTTCATGATTTCAACAACTTGTTGTCCTTTTTAATTGCGATATTGTTCAAATTACGCAAAGATTTGCTTCAAACGATTACTGATAGAGAACCGAAACAAGTTTCAGGAGAGTTGGTTGTGATTATATAGACAAGTATAGATTTTTAGAGAGTGAGTTATTACAGAATTCAGAATTCAATAACATATGCAACTTCCATGTTTGATTTAATAAGTGTGTTGTCAATTGCATCTAAGGATTTCACAAGACTTGGGTTTGTTATATGTAATGTTGTAGTTTCTGCTAAAGTATGATTGTTTTCTATAAGTTTGAAATGCAGTCCAGAAATGAAAGTTGCACTAGCTCAATGATTGAAAGTGTTATTATGCACAAGTAGAGTGATTGGTTCAGATTGATTGTCATAAGAATTACATTTTCAAAAGTAATTGACAACATGGAGAGTGATTGAGTTGTCATATAAAAGATCCCTTGATCTTTCTACTTTCCCATATCAAATACAACCAAATGTGAGAGCCCTTGTTTTTCTTTCTGTTATTTGCATAAGTTATGGCTGGAATATGCCTAGTTTTAGTGAGAAATTTAATGCTTGGCAAGGACTTCAGATTCTTGTTGTAGCCATACTGATACTACCCCACTTGCAAAAAGACAAATACTAGAAAGGGTGTTGTTGATTTCACTGTTTTGTAAAACCCAAACAGGATTTCTTATCTGGGCTTTTTTTAATCTTTTTTTACTTTTACTCTTTTCTTTTCTGTAAAGGCCCTACTTGACTTTGTAAGCTCAGCTTCATAATTGGACATCTGATTGTCCTTTTTTGGTGAAGACATGACTGTCCTTTCAATCCTGTTTAGAAAAGATTAAATCTTTACATGAAAGTTAATCTCTGAACTCCACTTAGGGGAACATGAACAAATTATATGCATTTGTGGGCATCACCATGAAGTCCCTAAATTAACTTCTGAACTCCACTTAGGGAACATGATGCAGATGTGGGTATCACCATTAAGACCAAAAAGCCACCCAAAAAAAATAAAATAAAGAACTAAAAATAAAAGAAAATCTATTTTAGTTCTTTATTTTATTTTATTTTTTTCAGTTTGGGTGTATTTAAGGGTAGTTTGGGAAGATAGTGGGGTTTTCTTAGAAATTGTGAAAATTTTAATTAAAAGTTGGGGTTAGAACATAGGGTGAACTAAGAGAAGTGCGGGGTTTAAATAGAAAATCTCAAAATAAATTAACAATATGGTCACTTCATTCACACCTAGTTGATTGAAAGGACCAGATGCATTACTATCAACCTTGCCTGCAGAAGTATTGTGAAACAGTAAATCATTACCTTCAAATAATGAAAAGCAGATGGGAAAAGCTTTTGCTGGGCAGTTTCTGTTACTTAAGGATCGACAGAATAATCCAGTTAAACGACGATATGTGTTTAAGAAATCAAAACTGGCCATCAAAATTGGACATATACTATTTTTTACTGACTTAGATTTTTCTCAAAGCAAAACAATAGTTACATGAAGATAATAGTTTTGATCAAAATAGACCAGACTGTGATGAAATGGTTCATAGGTCAACTTCACAAGTGAGGACACATATTTAGAAGTTTTAGACAGTATCTCCAATTCGTTAAAGTTTGACTTCTCTCAACATGCATGGCCTACGAGCCCAAGGATGGTGCATTGTGATTGGTCCACAAGCTGCTGACGTGGGAGGAAGACCCCTAACAAAGGCAGGAAATCAGGATGCCACCAAAAGCTGTGAAATTTTGTTGATGTCATTTGATGTGGATTCTCTGCAAGTGAAATTGGAAAGCAACAAAGCATGGCCAACGTTTCTTGAATTGTGAGTAAAAACGTAAACTTTCTTTCATGGGGGGGTTGCCATGAAGAGAAGCAACTCAGTCTGGTGGGTCACTTCTCTCAAATCCCTTTAATTTGTTTGTGTCATTTTCCCTGGCCTACATTGCAATTTTGTTTCATGGGGTACAGATTATCAGTCCTTCTGATTCATTTCAGAAGAATTCAAAACCACTTTTGTTTTTGGGTTTTTACCTTTGGTTTGCAAAATTTGCAAATCAAATGAAAAGCTGATTTGTCTTCGGTTTACATTCAATAATTCATAAAGTTTTCAACTCCTTTATGCATTTCATAAAAAAAGAATACAGCTATGGGTCCAATCCAATATTCGCATCATGTTTTGGTCTCACTACATTTTGCAACATGAAAATTTTGATGAGATTTGCAGGTTAAAAGTCATCTTTCCAACCCCAAAAAAAACTGGGATCTTCTAGCCAATCCAAGTGCCTGTGGTTGCAAAATTTGATTTCAGCCTCTGATTTTCTCTAGTTTTACTTACTCTTGTATTCTATCATGCATATAGAACCTAGAGTGGATTGAAAGGACAGTTGTTGGAGCTTTCATTAACTGAACTAAGCATTATGTGTTTGAAGTTTAAACCTTGCTCTGGCATGCTTGAATCTTATATCCTTTCCCATCTTTTCAGTCTTTCAGAATTTCAGAGGTTAGGTTGCAAATACAACATATAGAAGAGGAGAAGGTATGAAGGAGAAAAACTTGTATATCGCGGCGATATCAGTTAATTAAATTCATATTCTTCTCCTAATCAAGGAGAATGGATGTCAAGAAACTAGAAAGAAGGAGGGGGAGGGGGGGGGGGGGGGGGGGGGGGGGGGGGTTAATAACAAGAAGATTGAGATCTTTACCATTTAAAACTTGATTTGAGTTTGTCAAACAATATTTTAAAGGACAATGACCCATACCAAAATCAATATTCTATTGATAGAAGACAAGGAATGACCTAGTCATTCTTTCATGTTCTTCATTTGATTCCCCAATAAGTAGGGATAAAAACAAAAATCTCTTGCAGCTTGTGTCCTTTGATGGCTCAACAAATAAAGCAAAAGAGTCTGTTGCAATTAATTGTTGCATGTGCAACAATAAATCAAGAATCTGGTTTGGTCCTATCTCTTCCATCATAAGCATTCCAAACTTTTACTTTTTCTATCAGAAGCAACCAATAATACTTGGGTGCTTTGCAGCAGACTGTTTCTTCACAAATAAGAATTGCCTTAAGGTTTTATTCTATCTTGAAATATTGCACTACTGTGTGTCCATTTGAGAGAGCTATCCCCAATTCAATAGTAACCTCTGGAAAAGGATAAAAAAAAAAAAAAAAATTCATAAATAGGCTCATTCTAACATGACGTTTTATACAAAAGCCCTTAGAAGAGCCTATTTGGAGAGAAAAACCCTCAACTAACTACTTGTCATTTCTAATTGGTTCTTAGAAAATTGTAACACACTAAGTACCAATTAGAAAATAACAAGTGGCTAGTTAAGGGATTTTCCCTCCAAATAGGCTCGTTTTTTTAATAAAAAAGTAACTTGACACGTTTTATAAAGCTGATTTAAGTTATCAACATCCTCCATGGCGCTTGCTTTCACTAGTTATGTATATTCAACAACTATTGACAGAGTTCCAAGTTCTTCAACTCCGACATGTGTTTCGTGAAGCAAATATGGTAGCAGATGAGTTGGCTAGCTTTGGTCATCGACTTGATAATCTTTGTATATGGTTTGGTAACTTTTCCTAATAGTGTAGCTCTTATGCTTTTGTATGACAGTAGCTAGGCAATTAGGATCCAAAGAAAAAAGCTGATTAAATTTAAGTCCTCAACTTTGTACAAAAGTAACTTTTCTGTCACACTGCTTCAAATTTAAAACGTGTGGGCTAGTTCTTACAATTTTTTTAAGTTAAAAGAACTTGGCAATAGTATCTGTATTATTAATGGCCATCAGTGTCCAAATTAATTGGGATTAGACGGGTTTTGGTTAATTTCATACAGCTCAAGCAACAAATTTGTAATCTTAACATTATCATATAGAAGAATATATTCCTCCTCAAGATTCCATCGAGCAAAAACAAAGCAATTAAGTACTATATCTCAAGAACGAATCCCTAAACAGAACGTAATAGCCTACTTTTACCAATTGCTTTTCATCATTTTTCAACATAATGGAGCCCCAAAAGTGGTGATTCTCCACCTCTTTCAACGAGTTGTTTTGTCTATTTCCTCTTCATGATCAAAGATAACTATAAACCTAAAAAAAAAAAAAAAAAAAAATCATGTTCAGTTCTCTTTGAGAAAACCCTAAAAATTACTAGCTGCCGCCCCCTTTGGGGTCCTCGGCCACCCTTCCTACTCGATCCCCTTTCTTCTCATCTTATCCCCTTTCCTCTTTCGTGATCAAAGATAACTATAAACCTATAACGGCACAAATAGTTGTTAGCTATGCATAATTGTCATTAATTACCAGTCTATTTGTGTTTACCAAATGCCCTTAATTTTAAGGGGGTTTCACTAAAACACCCAAAATGGGGGCTGAAATTATAAAAAAACCCAACACTCAAAACACTTTATAAACACACCCAAAACCCATCATTACACACACTCAAAACCCATTTATAAACACACCCAAAAAATATACAATTGTTGATTTTGGGGTTGAATTTGGGTGTGTTTCTATGTTTAAATAGTGTTAGGGTTTTTTTATAAATACATGTTTAGGATTTGGTTTATTTATAAATTTGTATAATTTTAACTTGTATCAGGGATCAAGTATAATAACTTGCTCCATTCAAGCATATTGGCCTCACATTATAACGACAATCTGCATATATATATGCACGGATTATTGAGAGCATTCTATATATATATATATATATCAATGGATGAAAATTTTGCCTTAGTGTTTTTACCTTTTCCGTCCCTTGCCAATTAGTTTTATGTTCAAAGGGAACAAATTTTTTTGGTTCGAAATTAAAGGGAACAATTTGACCACATTGATTATATATACAATCCTTCACATAGTGCATTTGGTTGGTGAAGACATGCATGATAAGAAAACTTGGGATCAAACTCAGTTTGTCATTCGTAGATATGAACTTAGCCAAAATGGATAGAGCAGATGTGCTCCCCACTATTCACCCAAGTTCGAATGTCCCTCTCCTTACCCAATTGATTAGATATTTTACAACCACACAAGATTTTTATTTGAGGAAGACAATTAGGAACACAACAATCCAAGGAGAAAGCTGTTTGGTTTTTGAACAATTTTTTTAGGGTGGTGATTTTCTCACTCCCCTTTTGTCCACTTACACTCTCTTTTGTTTTTTAATAGTTTTTACTATAACAAAAAATGGAGTGTAAGTGGAGAAAAGATGAGTGGGAACGTACAATTTTTAACAAAGGTAGTAACTTATTAAATACACTTAGAAATTATAGTGTTTAAGAATTCTTACTGGACAAATGGAAAAGCTTCATTACAATTTTGCAGGACATAATGAGTGGCAGCCTTATGAAGTTCGATGCTCATCTCTCTAAGTACACCTTTCCCAAAAGCTCGACCAGGTGTTGAGAAAATAGATAGGTGTAAGTGGATAAAAGAGGAGTGGGAAAATCAGCTCCCTTATTTTAAGGTAAGTTCCTAAAGATCACAACATGTACAACTTTAATTTCTCAACTTGTCTGTGCACGTGTGGAAAGGCAAAATCACTTCCTCTGTGAATTTCATTTTTCACATAAAATGACCGTCTGTGGTTAGTGGTAATGCTAGACAGCTGCAGATTAGTGTATTAGTGTACTTGGGTTGACTCTTATTGTAATTAAATCTATGATTAGTGTTGGATGGGATAATTAATCTTGGTTGTTTGCGCGGTTCTCGTGGATGTTAGCTTTGTTTGCTTAAAAAGCAAGAAAAGAAAGAAAAAAAAACACTCGGACATTTCAATCCATTTTAATATTATTACTTTCTTTAACTCAAATCCAAATCACACCCTGCTAATGTTAATGACTGAACTTGATCTTCTCTGGGGAGATAAGCCGAGATTGGGGCCGGCATATACAGAGGCTCTGCATGTGAGACACGTGTACATGCCAGCCCATCCCTGAGTGAGCAAAGGAAGAACCCATTATAAGCCATACAAGTCTAGCAGAAGGGTGCTGCAGTTTTTAGCCCTTTGCCACAAACCCTAAATTAAGGGGCCACCACCATATATAATATATATATATATATATATATATATTGCTAGCTATAGTACTGCTCCAAACATTAAATTCACCACCTCACTGTACTTGCGCTTTCATGTCATGCATCCAAGTTTTTTCTCTTTTCTAACTAAGTCACACTAGCTACATTTTCACTGTTTCTTCTTGTAATCTCTCTCTCTCTCTCTCTCTCTCTCACGCACACACAGAAGTTGAACTTTAAGCTAGAGATAAAGAGCTAGCTAGCTAGCTAGCTTTCTTTTTCTATAGTAATCACTTTTTCCTTTTGTTTTGCAATTGTATATATACACAATACTTATCTTCTTTTGCCATTGGCTGCAATATTAGTACTGCTTTGTGAACGAAAGAGAGAGAGATGGGACATCACTCCTGCTGCAACAAACAGAAAGTGAAGAGGGGGTTATGGTCCCCAGAAGAAGATGAAAAACTCATAAACTACATTACAACATATGGCCATGGCTGCTGGAGCTCAGTTCCTAAACTTGCAGGTTCTCTCTCTCTCTCTCTCTCTGGTTTGGGTGCGATTCTGGTTGCTAATCCATTTTAATTTGTTACCTAAATTTTCCTATATTTCTCGTAACTTTTGGGTTTGGTGAATTCCATGAGGCAGGCCTACAGAGATGTGGAAAGAGCTGCAGACTGAGATGGATAAATTATTTGAGACCTGACTTAAAACGTGGGAGCTTCTCTCCCCAAGAGGCTGCTCTCATCATTGAACTCCATAGCATTCTAGGCAACAGGTACATATATTACATGTAACTTATTTGATTATTTATATCATCACCATCTATATATAGCTTGAGCATCCACCAATTGATGATCATCTCCTCATTATTATTGTGATATGTTAATTACATTCTTCATGCAAGCAGATGGGCTCAGATAGCCAAGCACCTACCAGGAAGAACAGATAATGAAGTGAAGAACTTTTGGAACTCAAGCATAAAAAAGAAGCTCATCCCTCATGAAGTTATTCCTGCCTTGGCCTCCTTTTCTCATGATATTCACAACCCTAGTGGTAATTCTGAGGAAAGTTTCTTCACCCTCACCACAAACCCTAATTTGGGTCCTCAACAAGACCAGCTATTCCTTCCCATTCCAAATCCAATGCCTCAAGGTTTCAATTTTCATGGTGATCATAATAACATCAATCTCATCAAGTTAGACCAGACCAATTACGGTTCCAATTTCGTTCATCATTTTCCTTCTCCCTTCCAATTGCCATCAAATTCTTCCTCATATGAGTCCTCATGGTCTTTAGGCTATCAACCCCATCATCAATTTGATCCCAATCAACATCTTCAAAATTTCAGCATTGATGAAGCAGCTGCACATTATAATATTGGTAATGAACTTATGGTTCCAATTAGTATGGCATCATCAGCACCAGCAGTATATGAAAACCTTTCAATTCTACCCACACTGCCTAAATTGTGTGAGATCCTTGATGGTAATGTTTGTAGGATGCCATGTTACCCATCTGATCCACAAGACCTTGACTCACTTGCCAAATTATCATGTTTTCCATCTACTCATGGAGCTTATCCTCAAGATCTTCAGTTTCTATCCAGTCAATTGGAGTGCATTGATGCCATACTTCCATTGCCATCATCTTCCTCATCATCATCCCCGTTATCGGTATCTTCATCCTTGTCACCTTTATCGAGCACCCAATTCATCGCAAACCCTAATGTTTTGGAAGCCTAGCTAGCTAGACATGGTAATAAATTCAAATTAGGTATTTTGTATGGTTGGAAACTTGGATTTATATTCATAAACCTGAAAAATGCATATATTTATTTCTTGACATTTGCATAAGGTGACGCTATTCCCATTACTAGAAAACCTAAATGTTGCTAGTTCAGGCTCCTTGGGGAGTAATGTTTGTTGAAGCCCCATATCTACCTCCTTTCACATGTTATTATATTCCCATATTTATTTGTATTCCATTTAAGCTAGCACCTGCTTCATTATTATTTTGTATATAAGAACACCAGATAAAGACAAATCTTATGCAGCCCACAGCCCAACCTTAAAAATGAGATTTAGGCCAAAAATTGTCTATACATCCACAAATAAAAAAAAATTAAAGACAATTAGCTCTTAATTTAATGATACTTCTTTTTTCAATATCGAAAAATAAAAAGATATTCACACTTCGAAAACCCCACCCCATTAATAAGAAAAGAAAAAATGTTAATAGGTAAATGACCACATTTGATTTTAATAATCTTTTGTTTATTTATTTATTTTGTCGAATGGTTTTAAATCATCTATGATTTACTGATAGATTAGTCATATTGGCATCTCCCACCACATATCGTGATCCTTCCAGAAAATGGTAATTTAAACGATGTGTCGTTTTGGTGAAACATAGAATGCAATCACACGTCCCCTGTAAAATTACAAATCAGTGTCCCATCAAGTGTGTACGGCACAAGGGGCTTTTACTCTTCACAAGCATTTTGCAAATTCTATTCAAACATTCAAAGGAAGTGCAAGGGTTTTTGTAAGCTGTGCTTCCCTCTCTTGCTATTATTGTAACTCAGTCACAATACAGGCCAGTATTCATAAGCATGGCCTCGCTTTTCAAGACTCTTGTTCGAACGCTTGTACAACAGCGACATATGCCAAACCAGAATCACCCAAGAAAAAAAAAATGACAACTATTAAACTCAAACATTATAAAAATCTGAGGTAACAAGAAATTTATGACAAGCATAAATACATGGAACGTGATTTAATAGCTGGAACCCTCAAGGTTGCGAGAAGAAAATGTCATCGAACAAATTCTGTTTACAGTTAAGAAGCCTCAGTACAAGAAGGCTAAGCAACTACAAAAAGAACAAACATTACCATGATCCAAGGTAAAGCTTCTAGACTAGGTTCCAAGGCAAGACTAGGCCAGAGAAAGAGATGCTAAGCAGTAACTCTTGATCGACCCTTCGCTATTCTTCTAGCAATTACTCTCCGTCCACCCTTGGTTGCCTTGCTGTTCATGTGAATAAATATTATGTTAGTCATGCATGGAAAATCTACTGATAACTGGTTTATCTTTCTTGCCAAGTTGAAACTTGAAAAATAAGAGAAGAGAAACTGATAGCATTAATCTACTGATCACTGGCATATTTTAATGACCCATTATCCAGAGAAGTGAATCGCATCCTGTAATATGCTGAAACTAATTTTGCCTATCACAGAAAAGAAGTAAAATGATCCCAAAATAGAATTGGGAAATCGGGAGCCCTTAAATCAAACGCCTTTCACTTATTCCTTCATAAACGGATAAACCTTAAATTTGCATTATATATCTACTTGCCCATAACTAAAATCATAATACTAATTCCAAAAAGCAGCCTAAAACTATACGTTAAAAGAAAGATCACTAGTGAGTGTGTGTATGTGTGTGTCGTGTGTGAGAGAGAGACAGAGAGAGACCGAGCAAAAAATCCATGGTTCCTCTTGCGTCGGATGGTACTAGGCTGGAACGTCCGCTTTGGAAATAATAGCATTGGCTCTGATGATGAAGAATCATCTCCTGAGGAATAAAACATATACCATTTAAGCAGGACCAAAAGGAAACAAAATTGGAGTCACTGTCAAATTACTTTCTGTACAAGTTGACTATTATCCTGTTGGCATACTCGGTAGACATTATCTTTTGGACAAAGAAGTTTTTCTTTTGGGTACTTAAAACATCAGAAGTTGGGCTCCCAGTCTACTATGACAATCATAATTTAACAGAGGAAGAAATAAAAGAACCGCACAATGTCAAAAAACAAAAAAATTACACAAATCTGTTCTGAACTACACAGCTTGACACCAATATGGAAGTAAAATGAAACGTCTTATTTCGTAACGCTAGAAGAATTCACTCTCCATCTACAAGGTTCTCCCAGAAAACATTGTATAGCGCAGAAACAATTACTTTTTGTCCAGCATAAGCCTAAACCTATAAATCACATCGCATGAACACCTAGCTAGCATTAGGATTATGAAATGATGTAGATTTGTTGTTCCTGTTAAAACTCAAAATATAAACTTTAGAAACCAATCTACTGAATTTAAGCATACGTTCATTCTCTATGTGATGGTCATGACAGATTATCAATCTATCATAATTAGAGCGACTAATAATAGTTAAACCCCATCTTTAAGATTAGAAACATTAGGTTCCCATCATTTTGGCAATAAGATCAGAAAAAGTAATGACAAAGAAAATATACTTGTTGCCTAAAAACATAAATATGCCAGTTACAAAAGAAAATGCTTCGTGCAACTTACATTAAGCCTCAAGAACAAAATCCATTAAATTGTTAGAAATCCCAGCTTATGAGACTAAATAAGTTTCAGATTCGCAACCCATCAAATTTTATCAAATGGGAACCTCTAGGTGGGCACAAATCAGAGGTACCCGCATACAAGCTAAATCATCTTCAACTCAGAACATACGGTGTAATACTAGTGAAACGTTTATCCTGATTGAAACTAAAACCGAAATTGATGAACTCAGTGCACACCAAAAAAAAAAAAAATTTCCATTCCTATTCGCCATTATGGCTGCTGTGTCTCGAAATTTCTCAGCTTAAGGTGCAAATATTTACAATCTAAATATTTGCTGTAAGCTTTGTACAGTCCTAAAAACGCACAAATCATCAAAACTGCTGATTTTAATATATTTCCGACAGTTTCTCAGCAACCAAACTGTCGATTAGTCCAATAGACTGGAGAAAAAAAAAAAAGAAAAAAAAAAGGGTACAAACATACCGTACAATCCAAAAATGAGCATAAACCAATAAAGAGAGAGAGAGAGAAAGTACCGTCAGGTAAGAAGAACGGGAGATAAGGGAGGCCACAAGGGTACACGAGCCCTTCATAGGAGACCCGTTTCAGCGATTCGGCGTCGTTTTGGGGCAAACGGAAGGAGGTGTCGAAGTTTGAAAGAGATGGGAATAGCTTGGGAGTGATTTCGAGGCCGTGAGATACAATCTGGTGATTCGAATTGGGGTTCGGGTGTAGCAATGGTTTGGATAAGATCCGGTTCATTAGGGAAGCTCCAGTTCGAATTAGGGTTTTGGACGCCATTTCTTTGAAGAAGATGGAGCTAATTCTGCTAAAGCGATTAGAGAGACAGGGGAGGAGTGTACGTGGACTTCAAAGTGAAAACAGAGCGGCAAGGACGACATCAATTTTATTGTCGTTGGATACAAACATAAGTTACATACACATAACAAAGAGTAAGCAACTATACTTTCTTTTTACAAATTCCACGTTGTTCTTCGGAAGTCACGATAACCTACATTGTTCCTTTGGCCAATGTTTTGTATTTCATTTTCCCCTTTATTGTCAAGTTTGTCGGTAATTTTGTGAAAACTGCGAAAACTAATAGCTTTGCTACTACGTGATTTCTTCAATTTTTTGTCACGTACATAATTTTTAAGGGACTTAACGGTAGGAGTAAAATGACACACCAAATATTTGATAACAAAATAATATTAATATTTTACCGTACTTTTAGGGGCATTACAACAATTAAGGAAAAAAAAAAAAATCTGAATGATGGTATTTTAGGAATTAAAAAAATTCATTAAATGTTCATTTCTGCTTCTTTTGAAAGCAACTTTGAAAAGCAACCCAAAGTCTGCTTTTAAAAACTATTGTCAAAAAGCCATTGCTTTTAAAATAATTGAAATATTTTATTTTTACCAAACACATTAAACTGTCTAACTTTAAAGTAAAACAGATTTTTGACAAAAAAAAAAAATCTCAAACGGGACCTTAGTAGAGGAAGTAAGAATAAACTGTGGTTAGTATGGGGGCCAAGCTTTATTTTCACACATGTCTTAGTTATGAAAGTCACAAAAATGCCCATACCTATCTGCCCTCAACCGCTCAAGCGTTGGACCAAAGCATCATCACAAATTACTCATTTTGTTCGGTCTTAACCTATTTTTATACATGGCATGATGATGAAAGTTACAATAACATTGGACCTAAAAATTTGTTTGAGCCCTATATTAAAAATAAAACAACAACAAATCCTTTCCCTTCGAATCACTAAAAATATTTTGTCTTTACATAATTCCTTGGATATGTGGGTGAGTATTAGAATGCCAACTAGTAATTAGTTTAGCGGTATCTCTCTTTTCAAGATCAAATCACCTTACTTATATTGATAAACGAAAAACTAATATAAGAACCCGGTGCGTTTCCTTGAGATTAATTGTTGCTCATCGCTCTCTCATTGCCATGTGGTGGTGCTTTATTCTAGGATGCTAATTAAATTACTTGGTCACCCTAATCCATTGAATAACGTCCTGACCAGAATTTTAGTCACTCTTTACTCCTCATAACCTGCCCTAGCCTGAAAACCATTTTTTCTTCATTTGGTTGTTTGCTTGTTTTTTTCCCCTTTATGATTTAATTTCGTTGCAAAATTCCATTCTTTTGCTTTGCGAATCACCAACATCAAAAGTGAGTCATTGCATTTTCTGCAAAAATTAAACAAATCCATCTCAGGATGTCTTCCAAACCAGGTTTTAACAAAGAAGTCTTAATGGACATCCTCCTCAGGCTACCTCCGAAGCCCCTCGTTCAGTTTCTTTGCGCGTGCAAATTCTGGAATGATTTGATTAGCAGCTCACTTTTTGTTACAACACATTTTAATTTAAATGCAACAAGACGTGACAACATTTTTCTACTTTGCC